AGATGTCGAAGTCCTCGGAGTCTTGATGGCTTCTGACTCCGATGGCATACTCTCCCAGCTCTGCTTCTCCGGACTCCAAACCATCCGCAAACGAGGAGTTCCAAGGAACTCGGATGTTGGTGCTGGCCATCCATTTCCTGCCCATGTGATCAAGAGCAGCAACGTTTTCACAATCCAGCCCTGTCTTTGTAGCTCCGATCGTAGTTTCCTCAAAGGCACCGGTGACGACGAAGTTATCGAGGCTGCGTCCAGAAGAACACGAGGTCCTAGTTTTCGCTCTTGATGGGCACGGGCATCTCCTCGCCCGTGTCCGCCTCGTCGTCGGTGTTGATCTCGTAGGTCTCGGTGTTCACTGCGTGGGAGTTCTTCTTGAGGGGCTGGATCATCCTCGTTCCATGCGAAGTTGTTCGGGTCCTTGAGGGCGATCGCTGTGTAGCCGGCTTGGGCTGCTTGCTTGCCTTCGGCGTCGTTGCCGGCATCGCTCCAGTTCCACCAGTCTCGCTCGAGGATGCCGAAGCCAACGTTCTCGGTCTCCCATAGTTGTCCAACTCGACCATCTTGTCGCCTTGGTGAGGTCGGCTGCGAGGAGCTGGGAGGAATTTCGGGAACTCCTGCCCTCGAGATCCCGCGATCTTGGGTTCGTTCTCGGAGGTCGGTGGCAGCCTCTCCGGGATGACGTCCACCGCGTCGTTCCTCTGCCATCGACTCCCGCATAGGGTGCACGTCCACCATTGTGACACCGAGTTCGCCCGACAGCGTAACTTGTCTGGGGGATGTTGACAGGCACTCGGCTCGAGGGCGAAGGTCTTGTGAGCCTTCGACCTGGCCAGTGGTTGTCCAATCCCCTGGCTGATGTTTGTCGTCTTCTTGGCGCGCGGTTTGTGGGTGGTCTGGTGGGACGATGAAGCTCTCTCCTTCTGGTTGTCCTCGATCTGGTCCTGCATGTAGAACTCGTCCACCACCATCTGCTGCCTTGCCGTGGCCAACATCATCAAAATTCGGGCCGTGATCCTCTTCCACGCCATCTCCACCTTGGCAGTGCCCAACTTCTTCTTGGGGAGGATCTCGTTCCGCCGCATCTCGTTGGCCACCAGCTGGTCCGCCCGTTGTCTCAGCGAAGACATTCTTGCGAAGGGGACGGGAAGGACGGCTGCACGAATTGGTAATCCACTTGGCTGCTCGCGAAATCATCCGCTCGAACCAGGATGCTGAGGGTGAAGGGACGGAGTTGCATGACATATTCACCTCATCAAAGACGTGCTCTAGGTCATACTCTGCATGTCTGCACTGTGTTTCAAGCGGCACTTCATCCTGAAACTCCACAAGCGTGCAACTCACTGGAATCTCTGGAGGGGCCGTGAGGGGAAAGAGAAGGTCACGCAATTGTCGTTCATCTGCAGGCTTCAGCGTGTGTACTCCCCGGGAAGTGTAGGCCGTCAAACTAATCCTAGACCCCTTCCAAGGTGTAACTTCATGCCACAGTTTGGGAGAAAAGCTGACAAGGCGATGTTGGGTTCGAACCAAACTTCCATGGAGGTCCTGTCCCTGTGGTCCCTTCACTGTTTTGCTCTGCTTCGAGGAGAATCCAGCGTCGTCATTCTGGATCCACAGCGAGCCACCTTTGTGCTTGCCGAAGGACACCGTGAGGTTCTTCGAGGTTACCTCGTTATTCACATCCCGATGCAACGGGGCCTGCACATTGGCACCTATGCTAAATGAACTGAAGGAAGCTTCGGGAGCATGGTGCCTCAACCAACTGTTGATGTACTTCACCAAACACGGATACTTCAGAGTCGACTTGGTCACTCCAACGAAGGCGCCGTGAGCATACACTCCGAAGACTGCCGAGAAGGAGCGCGAGGGCTCCTTGCCTCGTGGGGCTTTCCGCATGATCATGCGGAAGTGGTCCAACCTTGCAGGGTGTAGGGCATGCAGAAGTTCATCCATGTCCTGCATCGACCACTTGGAATTTTGCATGCAGTCCCATGCCTTGGCTTCAACATCTTCCCCGGCTCGAAAGGCCACCAGGGATGTCGGGGCAGAATTGCCAAAACCACAAATTGCATCGTTGTTGCACTCACTTCCCCCCCGAAAATCTTCATGGCCTGAGCTGCCGGTGGAAGTCGTCCTGTGGGAAGACGGAGTCGTAGTCGAGGAGGCTCCCGTCCAGGAAGAGGAAGGCCGCTTCAATTGAAACGGGTCCTCATCTGCCACACGAAGTTGTAGTGGTAGAGTCCATGGCCGACCTTGGAAATCCAAGATAGACACCGTGCGGTGGCCCGAAGGAAGACGAGTCATCGGTGTACTGTAACCAGCTGCGGTGGTCAGCCGCTCGGAAGGGAGGTCGATGTTGGAGCCGATGGCCTCCACGGGGTCGTGAACTCGCCATCTCGCAGAACATGAAACCTGAGCAGAGCATGGATGCCCGCCACAGCAATGGGAACATCCTGAACGCTTTCGAGTTTGGCTTCGCCCCCAATGCCAGCACAGGGAACCTCGGGTCCTTGTGGGGAGACTGGCTGAGGCTGCAAGCCAAGCTTAGCGAGCTCTGCACGAAGGGAATCCATAGCTCTGGCGCCGATCACTGCGTCCTCCGCCGCCGTGACCACCAGGGCTTCATAGCCCCGCACTTGGATTCCAGCGAAGACCGAAATCGTCCTTCGAGGGCCACTAAAGTCACCAGCGGAAGAGCTTGCCACGCGCATCCAAGGAGATTGATGCACGAACACTTGGCCGCCGCCGGGTCCTCGAGAAACCACGAAATTCACCTTCCTGTCGGAGTTCGCCCCCTTGCCACTGGCGCCACCTTTCAGGGGGCAGTCCCTGGCATAGTGGCCAAGTAGCACTTTGTCCTGCTCTGCAGGTCTTCCATTGATCCTTTGATCATCTTCGGCCCGCCCTTCCGATGGGGAGTTGCAGACCTGCCACGGAAGAAGCGTCCTCGGCCCTGCCCTTTTTGCGATCCCTTGGGGAAACTTCTCGATCTCTGAGGCGGGGCCTTGCTGTGTTTTATGAAACCACGCTCCTTCTTCCGGTCCTTCAGGTCCTTCCTCACGTCCGCATAGGCCGAGTGGTACGCTGCCAAATAGAGTGACTCTTCCTCGTCATAAGTGCGGTCCTCGAAGTAGATCTGGAGCTCCTCGCCGTCCTCCGGGATCTCGTCATCGTCCTCCTGGGCCTCTTCCTCTTCAGACTCTTCCCCAGCGATCTCCTCGTACTCAACCTGGCCCTGTCGTGGTTCCGCCAGGTCGTGGTAGATCACCGGGTAGTGCTTTGAGGCTGCTGTCCCGAGCTCCGCATTAGCAGCCTGGGCGATCATCTCTGGTCTGTCCAGGGGCCGCAGCATATTGGCAATCTCATCAAATCCCATCAGCGTGGACTGATCTCTCAACGAAATCAGTTCGCGCTGCAGTTCTGAAAGATGAGCTTGGCGAAACAGTATCCGTCCAGCCACCTTGTCGTTGAGGCGCTCGCCCAGGTTCGTTTCCAACTCCTGCCTAGCCACCTCTTTGGTGGCTATGAAGTTCGCAAAGCTCTCGCCCTTGCCTTGGTCCCCGGCGAAGAAGAACTTGTCCACGCTTGCCGGCCCAGCGATGTCCAGGTAGGGGCGGTACTTCGTCATCAAGGCCGTTAGCACCAAATCGTAACCATTGGCCGACAGTAATTCAGACATTGGGATCTGGTCCGCAATCTTCCTCGGCTGGGAGTTCTCGGGGAAAGACTGGTAAAGTCGTAATCCCCATTTTTCGCGATGAAGAGTCGTCTCGGCCTCCCAGCATGCCAGAAGTTCCAACCAGGAGCGCAATGTCCCGGGTTGTCCGCTCCACGATGGTATACTTTTCCTTTCCCCTGTGAGGGCGGCAATAAAACGTTCGCCTTGATCAGGTTGAGGTGCCGAAGACTTGGGTGGACGCACCCCCAGCACATCAAAAGCCGACGACACCTTGGTGGGAGAAGAGGGCTGCCTAGCCTGTGGTGTGAGGCTCGCGGCAGCCGCAGCTGCAGCATTCATCCGAGAATCAAAGCTCATATTGGGCTCATTTCCTCTGGTAGTAGACGCCGATGTACCGAAAGCACCCGCGAAGTTCAATGGTGAAGCCTGAAAAGTGGGTGGTTGAGGAGCTGTAGCCGATGCCAAGCCTCTTGGAGGGATGGGTCCCCAGCTTCCAGGAATTCCTTGAGGAGGTCCCGTAGCCAAGAACGGAGAGGAAGGTCCTCTCACACTAGCATTCCCAAGGTTCGCGACCCAGGGGGAAGCACCACCTCCTTGATTCCAGTCACTTGGTGAAGGAACTCCAAAGGTCGAGGGAACTCCATTGGGATGTCCCGAATTCTGATTCCAGGTTCCAAATGAACTTGACATAGAGCTTGCTCCTAGAGCTTCTACCCGCGAATCACCCTGTGATAGCCGAGAAGCGGGTCCTCCAAGCGGTTCAGCGCCTGGTGCATGACGCAGAGGTCTGCGGGCCAAGTATTCGGCCCAAGGGTCCATTCCGGGTCGTCCCCGGGCTCCGGTGCCAACTGACGCAAAAGCGAATGCAAAGAGCACCTATTTTACTACGCACCATGAAAGCTCAAGGCCTGCGGAAAGTGCGCACAGTCGAAAGACACTCACGTCTGCACATGTGATTCACGAAAGGCTGTTTCAGTTGAAACATGCATCGAAAAGAGGATTGTATGCAAAGATATTGCGCCTTGATTTTTGTAGATATATGTATGACTCAGAAGCTTGTATGCAACAGTTAAGCACTATACTATTCTGCCTTGATGTGTGCAAAGACCATATGAGCCAGAGAACTGCATGCACTACGTAGCACTAGAATTCCGCTTGACAGGTTCAAAAATGTAAGCGCGAAAGGCTATGGTATGCAATGCTCAACTTGTGGGTCAAAACATGGCCCCTAGTCAAGTCACGTGGCATCAACACATCTGAAACCTGGTATTTTTGGAAAGGAGGGGGGGGGGGTAGCATGTCAAAATATTTGTATGTACTCGCAGTTTCAATGGCACCTGCTACGTGCACACGTTTGGATTAACTGAATCGGGCCTCGATTAGAGTCAATCCCACGTAGTGGACACACGTGTTCGTACGATAAACAGTGCGGGTGAGTTTGGGCTGCAGGGGCGTAGGACGAAGAGCTTATGTTTCGACCATTGGATTTCAATCGAAGCTGCATGAGCGCCGGCGTCTCGGCAGGGATGTCGAAGGTTGTGGAAGCATGGCCATCAGAGTAGCCAAGGAAGGACCTTCCCACCATATTTTCGTCTCAACAGACTCCTGATCTGTACTCCTACCCTCGTTTCCTTGTGCCACAACTCCTGCTTCTGCTGCAGAAGCACATGCAGGTCAGCAGCTCTCCGCATCCCTCCACGGCATTGCCCCCCGCCATACAAGACCAGCAGGCAGCTCCACAAGCATGCACTGTGGCAGAACTACCCAACCCTCTCACTCATTCACTCACTCTTTCTCTCTCTTTTCTGGACAACAGGAGCGTTCCAAGATCCCCGGGCCGAGGCCCACCCATGCTCTTTGTAGGTAAGTCGTGAAACCAGATCCCGAGTCTCCTGAGGAAAAGATCGCGTTAAATCTCTCTCTCTCTCTTTCTCTCTCTTTCTCTCTTCTTCCTTCAGGTTCAGGGAGCCGGTCAAGCTCCCCGGCCCATAGGGCCCCCCAGCGTTCCGGGGCTTTCGGGGAGAGGCTACACTTTTTCTCTCTCTCTCTCTCTTTCACAGACTCACTCTCCTCTCCCTCCCTGTGTCGCTGGCTCTCTGTCGTTTCCGCGGGCATCGGACAAACCCTCACATGTGTGCTGATCCTCGAGCCTGTTGGTGCCTTCTGCATCCTCGGCCAGGAAGACCGCGTAACCTCCGCACTAGGCACCCTGGAGGCAAGCACTCTGACTTAGCAAAATGCATTCAATGAATGATTTGGTGTTCCAAGGCTTCCGAGCATTTACATGCACGCTCTCGACAGATTTCACGCCGCGCAGCGCGTGACTTCCAAGACATCTGCAGCCGGCTTCCAGCGAACGCGTCCACCGAGTTCTCCTGCATCCAGGTCCTGTCAAGCAAAGGCTGCAGAACCCTCAGTCTGTAGTTCTTGAAGCTGCAGGCCCCCGACCACTTTGCCCGAACAGTCCCAGAACATCTGAAAATTGGAACACAGCTTCGATCAATGTGGACTTTGCACGCCAGGCAGGCTTTAACAGTAAGTGGTCTGAAGTCTCAGCCATATAATTCTATAATGGGTTTCTGCTTGCCTGGGCTAAGGAAGGGTACCCACACGTTGAAGGGTTGAAGGCTGCCCTCTCCGATATGCTTCACTCACTGAAACACGGAGCCCCAGCCTAGGCCTCCAAGCCTCTGAGTCCGGAAGGCACAGCAAAACACCCACCTGATCCGTAAAGGTGACGTTGGACACCAGACCATCTGCATCCTGAGGAACCAATCAAAGGAGGCGGAATCATTTGTCTTGTGGGACCGGAAGATGGGTCAAACTTTATTTGCAGATTCCTCTAGCACAACCCGTTTTCTTCAAGTAAGTGGCTTAAGAGCATGCTAGAGTTGGCACTGCCATTTTCGAGGAGAGTGCACCATGCTGGACACACTGAACTCGCAAATCCAATGCAAGAGACACTGAGATACCCTAAGCACTCGAGGATTTCTCACAGATGCCTCGAACCTGACGAAGGCTGGCGTTGTCATCTCCGCAAGGGCAGACCTCCACGATTTCTGCGATCACGGCATCGGTTTAGGGCTGGGTAGTGGATTTGCAACTGCAGTTGCTGACGCTCGCAAGCGCGAACGACATCGTTTGCGTGATATGACTACGACAACTACTGCAACAACAAGAGCACAGGCGGCCTACTGTAGACGAGCAAGAACTCGTGTGGAGCTTGTGGCGTTTCGGCGGGCACATCCTGCTGAGAAAGCTGCGAGGCTCAGGCAGAGTTGCGGCATGGGCGGAAAACAGAAGTGGGGAGAAGGACAATTGAGGGAAGCCTGTGTGGAGGATTTCGCTCAGCTCGCTCCGTAGGGACAGAGGAGCAAACCCATGAACACCCAGGAAAACCACACCGCACTACAGCATGTACAGTCGTTTCATGTAGGCTCTACACCGTAGCCAGTCAGCAACGAAATCCTACTGCCAAAATCACGAAAACTGTACACCCATGCCCGACTCCAAAATCCACAAACCTCCGCATGAGAGCCTAAAAACCAGAAAGCTGCAATGGAAGCAATGGAACAATCCTGCGGAAGCTATGAACTCAGCCCTACCTTGCCACGAACCTCAAGGAAATCCAACCTCACTCGACCAGGACAACTTGTTACAACCTTGGACCTTGAACCTTCCCCGAGTCGCTAAGCTACTGCCAGTGCCGTAAAGCAACATGACCCAAGACCCCGAACGGGTCCTAAAGTCTAAAGCCCTGTAGGCCTCAAGCCCCCAGTTCAAGACCCAGACATTCAGGAATCCCAATCAATTCAATAGGATTTCTCAAAAACTGCAAAGGCCGGGTCCAGCCGAGTGGTTCCCACCGGAAGCTCGCTTCCCAGCTGTGACCGCCCAAGTCCCGCTGAGCCCTTCCAGAACTTTGAGGCTTCGGTTGTTCTTACTCGTAGCACCTTTCTCGACCATCTCGCGCTACAGTATCAGCCCTGTGGCGTCCTAAGCCGGTACGACTCTAGCGCGTTCGATCATGGCATCAGAATGGCTCAGTGGCACAGGGCAAACGATCGAGTTTCTTGTCTTTCGCAGTTCTAGCAGTTTCAGGTTTTCCTGTCGGGGTTATGTCTTCAGTGTCGGTGGTGGATCTTGACTCAGACAGCGGGCTCGAAGAGGCGAAAGCACTTTCTGAGCTCGAAACTCAGGTACTTTAAGTGCACAGCGCCTCCTCTGAATGATCCTGAATACTCAAGGACGACAAGGATAAGAACAAAAATCTGTGCCCAACCAAAGCTGCAGACCACGAACACATGATAAATCTGTGCCAACAAAATTCAGGCAAAGAGGGAGGATCAAACTGTTGCTTGTACCCTTTGCTGCTGCTAGCGACGTAGAAGCCTGAAGTTTCGGAGCACATGCCAAGAGCCAAGCTTCAAAGTGTTTCCAATGCAAACCGAGCCGAACACTGTTTGACATGCAAAATTCTGACCTGGAAGCCTGACTGCTAGAAACCCGACATAGCAGGATGCGTAACCGCTGACAATGTGTAAGTGCCAAGGCCTCTGCTAGGAAGACACGATAGCCCAACACCACGGAATTGTCAACTGGCTCGTCCCAGGTGGTGACTCCTGCGATGCGAGATCAATTCAGATCACTTCAATGGGGTTGATGGACGGGCTTGTGTCAAATTGAGTGTGGGTTGAGATGGCTGGAGGGTACAACTTCAGGCTGCGCAGCCTGGTTCTTCGCTTTCCAGAAGTCCACTCGCCACGCGTATTGGAAGAGTGTCATGAAGCTGGCATGCTCAGATGCGCGGGCAAAAAACCCTGCGGTGGGTCCTCCAAGCTCCCCCAGGTCCAGGTCTTTGCCAATGTAACTCAAATTCGAAACGATGCCTGGGCCAAATCACCATCAGCTGGAATCAGCTGGAACTTCAAGGACAGCACTGCAAGGCACCGTACCATACAAGTCTACCCAACGTCGGGGAAAAGTTGCCATCTGCGTCGTACAGCTCCAACGACACCGGCGTCGTTTGCTCGACGAAGGAGGATCTGCATGTTTTGTGGGCTGAAGTCCCTAGTGCAGGAAGAAATAAACTAACGGTAACTCACGACGAAGCAAGCTTGGCCGAACCGTGGAGAAAGAAGCTACCGCAAAGTGTCATGGGCGTAAACGCGGAGCCTGGTGTAGATTGCGAAATACGTGCCACTGCACTGACGGCCAGTACATACCTGAGCATCCAGCCGAGATAGGTGAGACAATAAATTGCAGATGCAGGGCTTGCCGGTTTGGGCAGCTGCTGGTCGACGTCGACCCAGCGACTGGGGCGGTCGCTGGGTCGATGCTCGACACTGCAATGATGGCATGCAATGCAGTACGACAAGGCAAAAACTGCAGTGATACAGTAACGGTACAGGTGACACTTGCTCCCGTCTAGCTGGAAGGCCTTAGGTACCCCAGGCAGCTTCGACCATCCAAAATCGAGTCTGACGATGTCTAAAACGTCGCGCCACTCGATCGGTGTCTGCAGGGATGCTGACATTGTGCACCCTTGGCATGGTGCTGTTCTTGAGGATGCGTCCGCCTGTCGGTGTTGGAGGGGCAGGAACCACTCCGCCAGCTCAAAAACGCTCCGGCACCGTACATGCATTTTCCAGTTCTACGAAGACGATAACGGAAAAGTTCTGACAGGAAATCCAAATCTTGTGCTAAAGCTGCAGTTTTTAGCTTTTGGACAGTTCGGGACTGCTGTTGGGGAAGGATCTGAACACTTCTAACGACTGCCGGATGTAATAGGCTGCTCTGCTATGTCGCCACAGCAAAAAAACATTACAAACTGCCCTCAAACAATTTAGCGGTCGTCTCGTCCTCAGAGGGGACCGAAGCGAACATCATCAACCGTGGGAATGCTCGCTGCAGGAAAAGGACAACACCTTGAGGAACCGTTCCTGTCCCGTCTGCTCATTCCAGATAAAGGTTCTAGAACAGCGCTATGTCGGGAAGGCCAGAGTGCCTGACGCCAAGGCCCTCGGCTGATAATCCGATGATCACCCTCACTTGCATTGCAGGCCCAGGCACCTAACAGGCTGAAATTGCTGAGCTCAACGATCGAGCCACCGGAAGCCGTTGTCGAGAGATACACCAGGTACTCCTCAACCTGTTAAGAGCTTGAGGTCTGAGAATGCCTCCGGAGAAGAATTTTGAGGTTCGGATGATCCAAACAGGTTTTGCTCACAGCTTGATTCGGACGTCTTCTTTCTTGCGGCCAAAAGAAATCCCGCCCCAGCAGAGTTTCATCTAAGCCCCAAGCACGAGCCCTCATTCAGCAAGACCAAAAACAAAAGATGCCTGTCGCAAGGACCCGGAAGCCTGCACCTCGGAATTCATAATACTTGAAGTCCACAACGACCCACTCTTCAGCACCAACTCGACTGCCCCTGCTTTGGCCCTGGAAAAGCTTCTTCGACTGGCGGCCAGCCGGTCGTCCTCCGGTGGCTCCCACTCCAAGGTGCCACCCAAATCCTCGGAATATCCAGTGGGCATTCGGATATACCGTGATACAGTATGATACAGTGATACCCCATCGCTGCGGCTTTTCTGGGGCTGCAGGAAGTCGGAGCTTCGCTTGCAGGCAATTATATAGTAGTGGATCGGAACTTGTCGCAGCTTGGTTCCATTGGGTTTGACGGCTTCCGGGCGGCTTGAGGAGTGTTTAGGGGGATAAGCCTTTTAGGTCATTCAGCAGATGACGTGGGGATGAGAAAGACTTCAAGGCGTGTTGACGTTCAAGACGGCTGAAATGTTCGGAGATTAAGCTTTGGGGCAACGTTGCAGCCCTGATTTCACATCATCCAGATCCTGAGTGTCGCCAACCATACGTTGCTGTAACATTATCGCATGCAAAACATGTTGAAAACCAAGGTTCGCCAAAATCCAGGTCGTAGTCCAGGAAGGTGATGTTGCTCACCGAAGCGAACCTCAGTACCGAGGCGCCTTGAAGACTCAGAAACAGCCTTTGGCTTTTGGATTGGTGAAACGTTGGTGTTGGGCTGGTTGAGGGTTCAAGACGGTTGAGCCTGCCGAAACGTGCTTGCAGCATCTGACAGCTTTCCAATTCCAGACTACGGTCCACGGTATGACAAGATGTTGGGCACCTGTGTTTCCAACATCAGGAGAATACCAGGGCACTCGTCCACCAGCGCTATGGTCGTCGGAGTTGTCTGCTCCACCAGCGAAGACACTGTCACAACTTGCAGTGGACCATACTCCCTCAGTTCAAACCAAGCTGCGACACGCGGTCCTCTACAGCATAGCGCCGCATGTGCCAAACAGGTCCCTTCTCGCAAGATGTAAATACCACAATCTAGTGCACAGACGGTCAATGCCAACCAAGTGGCAACGGGAAAGAGGATATTTCGCTGGAATTGATGCCCACAGGTATATCGCCGCTGAACCTGCAGGCACTCTACATGTGCGGGCCGCAGCATGCTCCTACCATGCGACCTGTTGGGTAGTGATCTTGTGGGTGAGACAAGGAGGATTAGGATGGAGGATGAGGATGCGGATGAGGAGGAGGATGTTGTTGATGATGATCACGATGAGGGTCGTGAATAGGGTGGTGATGAAGAAGATGGCGACCACGACGATGATTGGCGTCATGATGATAATGACGACCATGACAGCCACCACCACCATCGTCATCATCATCAGCATCATCATCTCGTCCGTCCTCCTCCATCCTCGTCCATCATCCGCCATGCTCCTGCATCCTCCTCCATGCTCTTCCATGCTCCTCCATGCTCCCCATCCTCCTGCATCCTCCTCCCCCACTAGAATAAAGCTACAGTTGAAAAGGCTGGAGCAGGGGGGTGGGGAGGGGGGTTCCGTGTGGGATCCTGGGCACTGTTCTCATAGGTGAAAACCTAAACAAAACTAGCCATGTAAATGAAAGCTGAAAAAGCTACACAAAAGCAGATAACAAGCTAAACAGCAGCTGAAAAGAGAACTATGGGAGATTGTTTTTTTTTGTATCCTTCCAGCTTTTGTTTAGCTTTTTTCAGCTCATAGTTAGCTTCCTTTCAGCTTTTTTAACCTTTGCTCTATTGCCTTTGACGGGACTTGCAGCATTACGGGATTGCCTTTCGGGCAGCTTCTTTGCAGCTTTTTATCAAACCTATAACAAGCTTTCACTCTTATTGAGCCTTCCAGTGTTATCGTCCTCATCAGGAGCATCAGAGGGAGCCTCAAAATCGATATAAGTGTCATCATCCTACTACAACCATTCTATATTACTTTCGTCCCCGTACGAATGTAGTCACCCCTTCATGGAAACCGCTACTGACACCTGTGCCCAAGCTGAGCACCCCTGCTTCGAACTCCAAGCTAAGCCCGCAACCCAAAATACAATTCAACAATGTAACAAGTTGTACCGGAATGCGCGCTGCATCTAAGAGGCTGAATGCGAGTGCCGGCCGCCAACCCATACAGACCTTTGACGGAACTCATAAGAGCAAGAACAGTGCCATTGACACGAAGAGCCTTGAGGAAAAGCGGCATGCGCTGTCCGAGCTAAGCGCACATAAGACCGTGACTATAGAAACCCCACAAACCCGATTGCCGCTTGCCCGATGTTCCCTACCACAAGGTCGGGCTTTGGGCTGGCAGTCGAAGATTTGGGTGCCGTCGACCAGCTTAAGGCGTCACACATCAGCACGTGCCTCTTTTGGCAGGTGAGGCCTTGTCTAGACTCTAGACCTGGTGCGACTCCGAGCGTCGGTACAGCTCGACCTTCTCGGCGGTGACAGGTGCGGTCCACGTGACGATGCCCCCGATCTCCCCAGCATCCAAGTCAACTGAGGATTCAAGGCGAGGGCGGGCTTAAAGGCACACGCCGACTCCACATCTCCAGAGCACAGTGATGGATGAGCAGACATAATACAAACAATCAATTCAACATCAAACAGAGCGACCAGATTGAAGAGCTCGGCTAATCTAAGTACGAAAAACGTGGAAAGTAAACTGAATCTCGAGACTACAACTAGAGTCTAGAGTAACTAAAGACTCCCGTGCAGACCTTTTCGAATGCGACACCAACCGGCCGCACAGCAACACCACGAGCAATAACCACCAACACTGACAGCAGCAACAGCAGCCACGGCAGCAAAGGCAAGGACGGCAGCAGCAGGAAGTTGTGGCGGCAAACGCAATAGTCACAACAGCCACGAGAATGAGCACAGGATTCACTACCTGTCACTACCTTCGTGAAACACTCGCAGCGACAAACTCCAGCCCCATCACCGAAGAATGCCAAACACAACTCCCCGAGAATGCACGAGCCACTCGGGACATGAGAGTCAGTCCCTCCTGCATTGGTAAACTGGATTGCTCAAAGGTTCGAAGATAGCATACCATGCCGTGTAGCAATGTTGGCTGGAGCTGAGGCAGCCGACCCAAGCCGTCAGCTCGATACGGAAACCCTTAGCTCGCTGCGGCCCAAGACACGATCAGGGCAGGCAGCAGCAGAAACACTCGCTGAGGTGTCATCAATCTCCAACCTCGACACTGCAAGGCAGCAAAGGCACAAGTGCTTGCCATGTTCCAAAAGTCGCATCTTGCACCCTCTTTGAGCTTCGGCAACATAAATGGTGCAGTAGCATATGCTGCGGTTGCTAGTCTGGTGACAAGTTGTCAACCAACTCAAAACCTTTTGCAGGACCGGGTCACGAAGTAGGCGTTGTCTGCTCCAAGAACGGTTCCGTCGATACCTGACTCTCAGCGAGCAAGCATGCACACAGAGCCGCACACCCTGCGAGCTGAAGGCATGTAGAATCATGACGCATGCTACATTGCTGCTGCGTGCACGAGTTGAGCAGGTGTGAACCTTGACAAACCCGTGCCAGTCTGCCGACCGTGGCTGAGTCCAAGCCACAGAATAAACCAGTATGTGTGTGAAGGAGAGGATTCTGGTCTCCGCTGGCATAATGTGGGTGTTGAACTGCGGCGAAAAGCTCTCCACATACTGGCGATTCCTCAGCAAGACTTCGCACAATCTTAAATGCACGCTCGCACTGCAAGAACAACGATTTTAGTCTTCAGCTTGCCTGCAAAAATCTGCAAAGCTGTGCCGCAAGCTGTAGAAACTACCAAAACTTGTGCTTGATGAGCCCTTCATGCATAGACCCAGCACCATTATGCTCTGCTTCCGCATGGAACGCATGCTGTGCTGACCCCAAGCACCTGCCCTGCCTCTGCTCGTGATTCGCATGACATCGCTCCAACGTACACCTGCGTTGAGGTGCCATCTCATATAAAGACATAAGAATCCTTTTACCATGATCCCTACTCCATCCCACTCCCACTTCTGGTAATGCCGTGGCACTCAAGACCCGGCGGCACGGCCGCAGTGCCGTTCCTCAAGGCAGCTAAGGCAAGCGAGCTGTGAGGATCCGAAGAGAATCCCATGGCCCGGTCCGGGATTTCTAGTGAATCGATGCTCGGTTGTTGAAGAAGGTTGCAGTGCTTCTCGTAACATCATCAGATCGTCACTGAAACCGGTGGAATCCGGTGTACCAAGTGTCCAGGCCAGAAGCCTGCTCACGGCTCTGCCCGATTGCAGAATAGGGGCTGGGCTTGGCAGTCACGGCCGAGTCAGAGCTAGCGCTGAGGCTTGGGGTTCCAGGCGGGATGCAGCCAAGAAGCCCGTCGGAAGCTACGCCTCGGGCTACACATCGGCTTCACCGTCAAGCCCATATTGATGCGCCACGGACCGGCCTGCTCCTCAGGACCTGCCTCTACCCGCAAAGGCTGGAGGCTTTGAAGACAAACCCAAACGTTGAAACCCAAGGCCTCCCTGTGACAGACAAGGCCGTTCCAGTGCTGTCAGAGGTGCCAGCCACGTAGGCATAGAACCGATAGACCTTCCGGTTAACAGGCTGTAAAAGCGGTTTGTCAGGAACCATTCAGCATCACACAGCTGATCCGTTGCGGAAAGCTGCGAGGTACTTCAACAAAGTGCCAGCCCCCTGCCAAATTGCTGGTTGCTGCAGGTTTGGGTCTTGGTAGCTCGAGTCTCTCTTGCTACCGTTACAAGTGGGAGGCTTTAATGCAAGCCGCAGGAGTGTTGATGCCCACTCCGAAAGGTTTGGGCAAAAGAACAGAGAGGGTTACCTGCTTCTGCTTTTGCAGATTCTGTAGTGTGCAAAAGCAGTCTTTCACACTCAAGCCTTCACTCTCAGTCGACAAAGCCAGCAAACACATGGTTCGGGATCTGACTTTTGCTCAGGGCTGGGGTTCAGGCAGCGCGACTTTACCAGATGCCCTGATGCCTGGCTGGTGTCCGCAGGGATATCCCAGGAAATTGTGCCACCCAAATCCCCAGCATCCAGATCCCTGTCGTCGAAAGCCAGGTTGGAGACCTGAACCAAACGCGCTGCTCAAGTTGTACAGATGCGAGCCGAAAATCCACAGCACAACATTCAATCAGTAGCTGATGTTGGAGTTCGTGCAGCAGCGTCTTGTTGCGTGCTTGATGTTGTTGGCAGGGAAACTGCATTACCAGGCAAGGGTTTTGTGAATGCCATCACGGTACTGCCGCAACAATGCAAGCCCGTCCGCTCGTCGTTACTAAGCAGCGCTGGGGGCCTGGTTCAAGTGGATAGATTTGCCAAGGATGACATGTTGGCTGACTGGCCACAGCAGGAAACAAGCCATGCAAATGGACACAGGCCCGCAAAGGCTGAGTAACTGCTCCAAAGAGCACTCATGCTCTCTTGACTTCCATTGTCTTAGTGTAGCGAGAAGAGCCGCCTTGCTTGGACCAAGCGGCCGATGAAATGGAATCCGAAATCTCGACGACCGGCGGTTCGGACTGCTCCGTGAGAACTGAGAAAGTGGTCACCTGCGATGGAAGCTCGAAGCATTCCCTGTCGGCTTTGTTGTCAAATGCAAGCAGGTGCGCCTGGATGTGCGTGTAGGTGACATTGAGGGTCTCATTCACCTGGCGTGTAGTTCTCTGCATGCTGGAGGTTGTCAGCGGCGGGTGCACGGAGTGTGCTCGAATTGATGGCTAGATGCATACAGGCAGTGTGCGAAGCACGCACGAATTGCGGCACGTTTCATGCAGCTATCTTCATGACCTCGGTCGGAACAGCACAGAGAGCTCCATCTCTTGTTTCCCACGTGAGATGGTTCATAATACGACACCAAAAGCTGCAAGGCAAAGCTGGTGATGCAGGCCCCGATGAGCCTTGGGGGTGTTGTCAACCACCCCAACTCTCTGGAAGTTGTTGCCCATGTCATCTCTGATCTGCAGGCGGTCCGCCCCTTGGACAGAGCTGAAGGCTTGCACAAGAACACCTCCACACACAATACTGTAGCTCTACAGCTTACGCACGACGAGCAGGATCAGAAGACTACTAGTGACAACTTTCAATGGCAACAATGGTACTACGAAAAGCAACAAGTGTAACAAATGTACCCGTTGACTCTAACGCCAAATCTACTGTCCGAAAAACTGCTCCAGACATTGAGTTGGCATAGCTGCAGCTGTTACGTTCCAGAGGTACCTTGAAAGGAAACGCGTCACAAACTGCCGGTGTTAAACATTCACAACCATATGACAGGCTTCAAACCATGTTAGCTAGATTACCGATAGTAGCAACAGAACCAATGTTCCAAAGGGGGAATCTAAATGCGACTAATTATTAGCATGGCCACTAAGGAAAGAAGTGAAAGAAGACTCAAACAAAACCAACGAGAGCAATGATGACAGTAGTAGTGGTAAAAAACATAACCGCAGTCGACAGTATTGGGGTCACTGGTAAGCAAACAGACAGGGAGTGTTGGCAACGCAAGTATCAACAACAATTTTTCGACGGTTTGCGATGGAAACTACTGCGAACAAGAGAGCTCATCTCTTGATCAACAATACTATGTAAATTGCATGATGTCTTTGAACTTTGTGCATTACAAAAAACGGCCTGCGACGCTTGCCCTGTCGCTGAGGTACGCCTTGGGAAACGAATTCCATCAGGACGGAAACTGCAAGTCACGTGGTCCATGTTGAGCATGTTGATTTGCATAGCTTGTGCGCACGCATGCTTCTCTGTCTCGCTTTTCCCCTCTCTCTTTCCTTGTCTCTGTTTCTTTTTTTCTTTAGGGCTGGGGTGGGGAGTTGCCTCCTTTGTCTCTTTTTTCTGCGGGCGTGAAGGGAGGATTGCTCCTTCCCGTTGCGCTACTGCGCGGTGAACAATCCGACACTTTGGGAC